AAATTATTAATAAACTATGTACAGGCGGTATTTTACCGAGAAAATAAAGGGATTATTTACAATAATATAAAAAATAAAATTTTAATTCGTTACAACACTCATATATTTACGCACGTATATTGTAGCAGAAATATAAGATGGAAATTATTTTATTTTTCCTATGAAGCATAACCTGCTTTAAAATGAAACAGGCATCAAAAACGTAACTTTTAAAGGTATCCGACACATGATACACTTTAATATATAGATAGTATTAGATTCTTTTCATTCTTTTACATAAAGAAGATTTTATTATTATTTTTCTTTTTATTTGTTGTAAGCATTATATAATAAGGGCTTATTCAATTTGTCGTTAGGGATGGAAATAATTTTTAAAAGAGTATTGTGCATGCACATTAATTTAGATTTTAGATATTTAAATATTTAGATTTCTAACAGTTAGGAACAAACGGGGCTTAAGAAATACAAGTAGTAAATACAAATAAAGAATTCAAATAAAAAAAAACAAATCACAATAACTTATGTCTAATCCAGATGGTTTGAAGATTATGTGACTGTTCCCTAATTGCTTTTGACTGGTTATCATAATAACGGGCGGGAACCGAACGCCTGTTAAATTCTTAAAAATAAGAGCTCCTCCCTCTCCAGCCCAATTACTATATATTTTAGAAACGATATTTTTATTGTGGCTTTGACGATCGATCTCAAATTATTATATCATACCGGCAAAAAATTCAACGCAACAAAAAGCAAAAATTGTCATGTATCACAAAGATACTAAAACCTATTATTATTGTTCGTAATTGAACCTATCGTAATTGAACCCATACCTTCTATTTGAATGAGCAGATTCCGTAGCCAACAATACATCTGTGCCTAACTACGAGTACAATATGTGATGCGCAGCTCTTGCCTAGCATGTAGTGAAAAGTTATGCCTTTGGTTTTATTTAACTTTCTTTACCTGCATCTTCACTACATACCCTTATTAAATCTCTCTTGTTATCTCTATTCATTTCATTTTGTGCTTTCGGGATGTTGTGGGGTGCTGGACACGAATGTTGAGCAGCTAAAAACAAGAACAGAGAACCCCAAGGATAATAAATCTTTTTATAAATCGATCTACATCATTTGCATACAAATCTCGATTAACATGTAGCATTCATATGCTTATTTTCATTTTGCAGACTTGTAAAAAGTTGAGAAAACCAAAATAAGGCACAATTATAATAAGATGCTTCATATAGAATTAGTTACACACGGTGCGTACGTTGTGACGGTGAAATAGCCGCAGTTATGAAAACGTGATTCAAGCCACATGACTCGGGACCCGAAATGCAGATTGATCGACAAAGCGAAGGCATTTAATCATACTAATTCGGGTTTGGCTGAGGCGATGCTCCATTGAGAACAATAGTAAGGCGTCGATGGTATTCACATGGTGGGAACTAAAGACATTGTCATGTAGATGAGTATGAATTGCTTATCGTTAGCCATAGATCCCCCCGATACTCTAAATAGCTATATTACTTATAATATTTTAGTCGTAGTAGCAAAGCCACAATGTTATTTATCTATATTATTATTATTATTATATAATTAAAATTTGGGTTGTGCGCTTTAACGCTTTTGATTGGTTGTTAAAATCTAAATCCATCCCAAAAATATTATAGTTATTAGTCATGGCACTTGCTAAATGAGTAAACAATGTACCTAAAATTGAAAAAAAATTTACGTATTGGTTATGTAGGGTTGTATATTAGTCGTAATTATTCGTCATGGCACTTGCTAATTGAGTAAACAATGTACCTAAATTCCCGAACCAAATAATTGTTTGAAAAAAAAATTACGTTATGGCATGTATATTGGTCGTAACTAAAATAAATAAAAATCCAAATCTAAATCTTTCCAAAAATGTGATAGTTTGTGAAATCAGTTCTATGATCGGTTATGCTATGTACGTACGTACGTACGTACGTACAGTATTTGTGAGGATTGATCATAACTAAAATTATTAAATAGCATTGAAATATACAGCCATAATCAGGTTACAGGCTATGGTATTCGCTATATCAAGAAAGTGTTGAATGCCCAAAACTGTAATATAGATGTGAACAAAAGTTTGTGTTACATGGACTTAATTTATAGTTATATAGTAATAAAAATTTTTTTGTAATTTACGAGACGTAGCTTTATACTGAATCTGAATCTGTGTAACATTTTTAATTGATTACAAGTTGGATAAATTGGGTCACATGCGACTATGTAATTATGACATAAAATTCCGTGACAGGTTTGCGGCGCAGTAGAATTTCTTAAAGACCATTAATGTTAGGGTTTAGGGTCAGTGTTAGGAGTTAGAGGTAGTTTATTAGTTAAATTGCTCAACGAATACTTTTTGTTAGAGCACTAAAGATCATTTCTTATTCGAATTTTCGAGAATAAATGTCTTTTGACAAAACGAACGGTTGTTTTTGAATTTTCAGATTACACCTGATCTTCAAAATCTGATTCGTAGTTCAGGAAATCTGTGCCAACTTTGAAAATGGGTTAGATGTTTATCATGTGATTTACAATAACCAATAGTAAAAAACAATAATGAATGGCGCACCTTATATGTTGGGCTAATGCCCAAGTTTCGCAAACGTGCCGTAATTAGAAGCCACGGGTTAAAAACTAGTAGTTTATATAAAGGCTATGAGAATAATAGTCTTGTAAATTCTTAAAAACGTATATTAGATATTATTGGAGTAGAATACATCTTCAATGATGACTATCGTGGATGAAAATTACATACCTCAGAATAAACAAGATTTGTATGATGCTATTCTCAATACATTGTTTCCAATCATTTTAATAAAATTTCTTGATCTCAGTTGGAATAAAAATGAAAAGAAAATGAAAAGAACATTTGATAAACTTAAAGAAAATGATGCAACAATACTTTATGCGGTACATGGTATCCAGGAAGCTGCAGATGAAGATGTGCTAAAATATGAATACGAAAAAGTCAAAACTACTGAATTATATAAAAAAAGGAAAAGTCAAGTCATTATTGATAATTTGTACAAAAGAAAAAATGTCTGTTTCAGAATTGATGAGAGTTTGAATATTCCTGAGGAAAATAAACTAATTCACAAATATAAACTCATCAAATTAATTCCTAATCCTATAGAAGATGGTGGTGATGATAATAAATTAGCAAATTTGGAAATAGAATTAAAAAGGTGTAAAAAAGAAATTTCAGATAAAGAAGAAATTTTAGATAAAGAAGAAATTTTAAAAGTATTGGACGAAATTTTAAAAGAAATTGAAAAAGAAAGAGAAGAATATTTTAAGATAAGTCAGGTGTCGACCTTTAGGGCAATAGCATTGCCATTACTTGATGATGCATTATACAATATTGTTACTTGGACGATTCCATTAATAGTTGCTTATGTCTATGATGATCTCTTAAGTATAAAAATTTTTTCTCTTATAAATATGGGTTTACATGTATATTGTTCTATTCTCACAATCAATTACAAATTTTTGGCAAAAAAGTTATTTAAAAATGATGAAATCACTGCTAATGATAGAGGATTTTGTTGGACATTTAAAAATTTAAATGCAATTAACCTTCTATTTAGATTACTTTACTCGATTATTTTTGTTTTTCTGATCTTGTTTCCAGTAATTGTTATTCCGCTATTTTGGATTATTGTTATTAGCAGGCATCCTTTTGATTTAATAAGTCTTGTATTTCTTATATTATTTGCATTTTTATTATTTCAAATAGTATTATTTTCATTTTTATTATTTTCACTTATTTTTTGCGACTTGTGTATGTATAATTTGTTATGTTCTGATTGGATAGCAGATTTTTATAGATGGCTTTTCCCAATTGCGTTAGTTATTTCGTTTTATGCACCAAATATTTTACAAACATTGATTATTCTTTTAAAATGGCCAATTAATTTTTATTTTCTAAAAGCATGCGTCTTTATACTATCTTTATCTTTAATAAGAAATTTAAATTATTATTTTGATGACATTCCTGATAATTTTTGGATTACTGCAACTTCTATAACTCAATACAAGTTAAGTAAATACTTATCTGGTTTAAAAAAAAACAGAGAAATCAAAACAAGAGAAAAAAAGCTGACTAACGATATAGCCTAATATTGATATTTAATTTTTTTATTTATTTTATATTTATTGTAACGTATATATTATATGGCATTAATGTATAAGGGAGCTTTTATGAAATAATCCCCTGTCGCACTAAGTGTCACTCATGACTACCTTCAGCATAATTTTTTACACATGAATAACTATATTTAGAATAATCAGATTCCCGGTTTTCATAATGATCATCGGGAATCTCTCGTATATTTATATATGTTTCTTTTTTTAAGTTTTCATGCTTTATGCAAATTTTAATTTTTAAGTTGTTATATACAGGAAATATGTTAATAAAAGCCAAAGTAAATAAGTATGGTTTATTATGTGATAAATGATAACATGCAAAAAGTAAGGATTTACTAATTTCCCCACCACTTCTGATTGGCTGTTCTAATTATTCAATTATTGGAGTATTTTATATTAGTAAATTTTCAAGTAAAAATTCGCGCTGTTAGACTAGAATTAATATTTTGGCGTTATATTATAATTATAAGACATTTCTTATACTAAAATTTTGCAAGAAAAATCTTTTATTAGTGCGTAGAAGACAGTTTCATATGTTGAATTTAGAGTTATGGGCGATTTTTAATCTTTGCAGTTTTTTTTTGCGTTTCTTTTACGTTACACTGATCGTGAAATTTGATTGGTCCGGTCACGTGAATGATCATCATTTTGTGTACCGTAAATGCATTGTATTATGTGACGAAAAATAACATTTAAACTTTTATATTGATATACCATAATTATATGGTATATAATCTAATTGTCTGGAGCGAAGCGACAAACTCATACTTCTGCGCTGAAATTATGTTTTTGATGCATTAATATTAAAAATATCAAAAACGTAATTGTGGCATTTTCTGGATGTAACACCACGTACCTATTTTTGCATATTCGTGAAACAACAACACAGTTTTATGCGTTTGTGCACAGGACTAATTTATCCAATTGGCCAATATTTATAGCATGTAAATTTAAGGAATATAGTATAATGTATTGTATTGTATAATATGGTGTAGATAATGTTCAAGTACGAATATCTGTAAGTTTAACTTTAATTAGTTTTAGTTTAATCAAGTTATATATTTATTTATTTATTCTTTTATTTATGGTCTTCTGCTTCTAGCTAGGCTGCGCATTATAATACTCCAGGTTCCAGAATGGTTTCTCTAGCATTCACTAAAGCTAGGAATCTTAAATTTGGGTAGTATAATGTGGTACTTTTTGAATTTTAATTTTTACTGGACTTGCTCTTACATTTCTTTTTTTTAGTTCCGTTTTGTATATAGGTTGTGTCTTGGATTTAAAGGGTGGTGGGATAAGTATTTTTTTTTTTTGCTTCTGGAGCTTTTATTTTTCATTGAGGTGTTACTAACATTTTCTTTTTCTTTAGATCCTATTTTATGATACCGGGTTTGTGTTAGTGCTTGAATATATATAGCTACTTTTCTTTACTGGTATACACTGCTATTTTTTTAGATAAATATGGATCCTTAGGGCTATGTTTTTTGTTTTGGAGTACTTGTTAATAATTTCTTTCTTTTTATTCAGATGTTTATTACTGGAATTGAGATTTAAGATAGTTAGCCTTATGTGAATGAAAAGTGGACTACCAGGCATTTCAAAATAAGCATTCATTTATTATTTTATAATTTTATATTGTTTTATTTTTTTTGGACTAAATATTTATATTTATTAAGTAATTTTAGTAGACAATAGTAGAGCGAAAGTGGACAAAAGTGGATTTTGGTTTGAACCTACATACAAACTATGCATAAAAAGACATATCTGTTTATTAATTATTTGGTTGTTTATTATTCAATTATTCATTTATTAGTTCAGCTACTTATTAATCATTTCAACGCTTATTGATCATTTTATTAATCACTTATATGTCACATTACCATTATATATTAATTACTCAGTATTTTAATCCGAATAAAACTTTAAGAATATAATTATAACTACTTCGAATAATAAAAATATACTGTACAGCATTACTATATCAATTTATTAATAAGTATACATTTAACTGATTAAATACAAACAAAATGATAATTTCATAAGCAATTCTTAACTCAGAAGATAATTACACAATTCATACGATTCAATTTGATTACGTTTTAATGCTTAATACTAGCAAATTTTCATTATATAATAATTGGATCAACCTTTATAATTAGACCATACAAACATATATTTTTGGTCTTTATATCACCAACTAACCTCTTGTAACTTACAGCTGTTTTTATAAATTCTGGAACATCTGATAAAAATTGGCTGAATGATTTTTCAGTCAATTCGGTTAAGTTGGCAGTTTTAAAATTTCCATGGAATTATCTGCCTCAGCTGATTTCAAATAATATTCAAATACTTTATGCTTATCTATTTTAGTTTCAATTCCTAAATAATAACAATAACCAACTTGATACATTCTGTTATAATTATTCATTGCTAATTTTTGATAACTAATGAATATCTTTTTTTTATCCTTTTCTGTTCCAATTACTTATTCATAACAGTTATCAACTTGATACATTCTATTAGGATTATTCATTTCTACCAATTTTTGATAATAAACGAATGCCTTTTTTTCATTCCTTTCCACTCTAATTCCATGTTCATAACAATAACCAATTTGATATATTCCATTATGGTCTTCTATTGATAACTTATCTTCTAATTTTACTTTGCACATATTCCAACCTCTTTCTTCTACTTCTATTAGCTCCAAGATAAATTCTTGGTATATACATTGGATCAAATATCAAACCAAACTTTCTTATATTATTACTAATACCCAAATCTAGGTGAGTCTTGGCTACTCTAGTTGATTTAGGTCACAGATAAACTAGTCTAAGTCTCTATTCTTCTTATAATATTTTAAAAGTAGATTAGTATTTTATATAATAATCTCAATTAAATATTCAATAAAGATAGAGGCATGGCCTCACTATTAACATTAAAAAAAAAAATTAAGTTAATTTTATTTTGTATATTAAACATAAAATGTTCTTCTAATTAAAATAAACCTAGTTTAATAAAACAAAATTAGCAATTACCTTAATAAAATTTTGAGAAATGGCTTTTGAAATTATAACTCTTCAAATTTTGCTATTTATTAATATTTTCAAATCAAATCAAATATTTGATCTTTCATAAAAAAAAAAAAAACTCTTTCTGCTTATCATCTGTACACAAAATTTCGTCACAACAATTTTCACGTTTTTCTCAA